CAGTTCTATAGAACCTAACCACACATATAAGGAGCTGTTTCAGTATAGTACAAAAAGCAAATTATAGGAACCGTTAAAAGGTCCACAAAGCTATAAATAAGTTAGATTACTTCATTTATCTCGTCCTTAAGTTTTGCACACCAGTGTACTTTGTTACAGTTGCTTAGCTGGCTTTGTGGGTATCGGAAGCAAAACCGAAGGATCACTACGGTAGAATCGAGGGATATCTGTACCAGAATCCCACTGGTCATGTGCACGTGCCTGGCTGATCTCTGCACGTTGTCGCCTCTCAGGTCGTTTAGGAGATTGACAAATGCGCTAATTGAGAACCTTTGCATACGTAAATTTGGCTTTTAGTGGATTTCCCTGAGCAGAACAGATGCTAATGGACGACAGCGGGAATCACGCCCGTCAGCCGGTTTTACTTGTGTGCTCAGCCAATGTTTGGCGAATTATTGACACTCAGAGAACTGCTCCGCTTGGAAATCCGCCACGGTTTTCTTGCCGCTCTCAAGAGAAACTGACTGCATTTTATGGTCAGTCATTCAACGCGACCTCATACATGACATTTCCACTCGAATAACGACGACCATTTCGATGTACGTTCGCGATTTCGAATTTCGCGATGCCATGGAAACGCGGCTTTCTGTGGAGAGCAAAAGTATTAGAATCGGATGAAATCCACTTCTGCTGGAGCTGTTCTTCACGAATTTTCCTACCGAGCACAGCTGAAAGCGACGATTGCTCAATTTTACTCCGACGCTCGCCCTACGGGCTATCAGTGATTTTTCACAAGCCACTGAGCTTTTTAAATTGTTTAGCCATTAGTGGAGGAAAAGGAGGGAAGCACTAAAGGGAAGCTGGCACTTTCGCTTTCAGTGTAGACTGCGGTAGAGTAAACAGTAAGTTCCCGGGCGAAGCCCCAACAGAAGCAGGGTGAACTTCTCAGAAAAACTCGCGATCAAATATAAACAAATGTAAGGCACTTACCGTAGTGCAACCATTTCCGATGCAGGAGGATGGAAAGGAAAGAGTATAGGCTTGGTGAACTTGAATGAATGTATGTACGAGAGACCC